TAATTCATTCATAACAAAAACTATACTGGTAGCTAGAGGGTATCCTAATTAGACTCAAATCATTGTGCAGAATGATACATAATAGCTTACATAATGTTTCAGGCTTTAAGTGGTGAAATGAAATTGCCCCACACCATGATCTGTAAAACAGGGTCAAAGCTTCTTTTTATCATGTGTAGTCATTTAATGGTTGGTTTGGAGAACAGACTTTGGGGTCTGAAAACTCAAGTTCAAGAGCTAATGTCTGCATTTGCTAAGTGGTCTTAATGATTTTGAGTTACTTTTCTTAACCCAAAATGAAAAGTTATTACTATCTTCATACAGAATTGAGTAGAATTGTGTTTGAATAGTAAGCAGTAATAGGAACCAGTGAATCAATAAAACGACAGTAAGTTAGAACTATTTATTCTTTTTTAAAAAGAGCTTATTTATACACACACACACACACACACACACACACACACATATTGGGTCATCAGGGAAGTCATGATGCATTTTTGCATGGAAAAAACACAGAAAAATCCATCATGATTTTCCCGATGACTAATATTTTATATAAATTCTGTCCTGTGTCCTCATTAACATTTGTTATTGTCAATTTTTCTGTATTTTAGCCATTTGAGGAGGTGTACAGTGGTATCCTGCTGTGACAAAAACCTATTTTAAGTGTTCTGTTATTCACCTTTGAAATTCAAATGTTATTCAAATTTTTAATTAAAAAATAAACTTTGCTTTAAAAACCAAACTTCTCAGTTATATATTCATGAAATTTTTGACCGCGGATTTCAGATCATGAAAGGCCTTTTCGTTCAAATGATAAAAGAACTTGTCAGGCCGGCCTCACAACTTAGTGGTTAAGGGAACTATGGCCTGTGATTTGAATTCCAGCCTAGACATCTTGAAAACCTGTCAGGCATGCAAGTGCGTGTGCCCTAAATCTAGCAGGATGGAGAAATGGAGAAAGGATGACAGCAAGACCGTGCCCTATTGTGGATGCTTTCTATCCCTCTCTCCCATCTGGGGTGTGTATATGTCCTGTTCTGTGTGCAATTATGAAAACAAATAAAACGTGTCACAGTTTCTACAGATAAGTACATAGACCATGATAGCAATAACTCTACCATCCAGAGATGATCACCAATTTCCTCTGTGTGCCTGTGCGCACATATGCTCTATCTATAACACATACAAAGACCTGTGGTCTAAAGCAGGAATAAGACTGAGATGTTGAGGAACCAAAGGATGAATGATAATAGGCACTGAGTATGTTCTAACAGAAGATTAATCTGGACAGAATTGGTTCATGTTGAGCTGAGTTCTCAACCTTGATGTTTACAAAAACCACCAGAAGACCTTATTAAGACAGACTGCAGCTCCCACCACAAGAATTTCTGAATCGATGGATGTGGAGATGGACCAAGAACCTGCGTTTCTGACAATTATCCAGATGCTGCTGATGCTGCCAAAGCTGCGGGTCCAGGGCCACCACACCCTGAGGACTGCTCTTGGGCTGCTACACTCTGATGAAGAGTCCGATTGTTATTCCAAATAAATGTGAAGACAGAAAATTTTGAGAACAGAATGGCATAATCTGTTTTGAATTTAAATAGATCATTGTGACTGAGATATTGAATACAGGATCGGAGGGGAGAGATAGTAAATGGGAACTAAATAGTAAATGGGAACGTATTAAATAGATCATTACAGAAACAGTATTTCCTTGAGTTAGGGTAATAGAGATACTAAGATGTGTGTGGATGCAAGAGAATTTAGGGCAAGGCTGATGAATCTCACAAATAGACTGAATAATAAAGTGAGAGAAGGAAAAACAAAGGGAATGTCTACATCACTGGCTTGGCAACTACCTCAGTGGAAGACTTTATGGGGGTATGGATCATAAGCTCTATTTAAAAAATATTTAGTTTGAGATATCTATTTATATACAACTGGAAATACCAAGTGTGCAGGTTGCATTTTCAAATCTGAAGCTCCAAGGGAAAAATAATAAAAAAATTGAAAGTTATTGACACATTAATGATATTTATTATCTTAAAATCTACTGAGGTCATTAGGACTGATCGGGTCCTGAAACAGGCATGATTTTGCACAGCCCCCCAGGACATGCGACAATGTCTGTGGACATTCTCAATTATCTTCACTAAAGGGTGGGTTTGCAAAGAAACTACTGGCATCTATTGATTAGAAGGCAGGGATGTTGCTAAGTATAGCAAAATACACAAAAGAACACCCAACAACACAGAATTATCCTGCTCAATGTATCACAAGTGTTACGATTGGGAAATCCTGGTGTAGACAGAAAACTGCCTTTCACATATAAAGGTTGTAAGCAACCATAAGACCTTTCTCAGATATACCACTGTGTAGAAATATGCCACTGGGTCAGCCTGATAGCCTACTAATTAAGGAAGCTGGATTCCACATGGCCAATAATGGTTCAAATCCCAGCCCAGTCACTTGAAAAATAGGCCAGGCATGCATGCGTGAGTAACCAAATCCCACCAGGAAGGAGAGAGGGAGAAGGTATTGCAATGTGAACAGGTCCCACCAGGGAGTCCTTTCTTTCCTCTGCCCCAGTGAGAGCATGTACCCTCTGATAATTGAAAAAACAATCAAACAAGGGACTAGCAGTAAGCATAATGGCTATGTCGCTGGACTCCCACGTAGTCGACCACAGTTCGAGTCATGGACCCGGTGGCTTAAACTCATGCCAGGTGCGTGTGCATGCGTGTGTGCCCAAGATCTCGAGAGGAGAATGGAGGAAAAAGGATTACGGCATGGCCATCCCCCCTGGGGGGTGATTTCTCGCTTTCTATCTCTCTGTCTCTCTCTGTCTTTCTGGAGAGTGCACGCGCCCTATAGCAAAAATCTCTCCAAAGACAAACAAACAAAAGCCACTTGTGTCAATTTAAAAATGCTTAACTATATTAGACCAGCTGAGACATCAACTCTATATTTTGAAAGACTGCTGTCAAATATTGAAAAAATGTTACAATATGGGAAATAAGATAAAATTAATCTACAAAATAATAACATATTAAAATTAGTATAATATTTTAAATTAATCTACCTAATAGTAACATATTAAAATTAGTATAATATTTTAAATATCATAAATCTATTAAGATCATAGGTAGTGTCCAAGGATTTTCTGTTAGATCTGGCTATCTGTGTACCTTTGTTGAATGAATAAATGCACAAGTATGCAACATATGAATTATGAATGAGCAATGTAGCAGAGCTCTCTTGGGTATTAGCACATATCTGTACCAAGGAAACAGAAGAGGAACTACAGAATGTGAGCACAGACTCACTATTTCTGGAGTGTGGGTATAGAGTCACAAAATTCCTAGAAGTGGAAAACATCCAACAGTCTGAAGGAGGTAGTAGAAAAAATTTAAAATGAATGGAAATCTAAACTTCGGGGAAAAATATTTCCAATATACAAGTTATTCTAGCATCCTTTAACATCTAGCATTGCACAAGCTATTCATCACTACCAGAAATTGTCTTTTTAAAAAAAAGTTATTTTTTTAAATTGTCTGTAAGAAAATAAAATTAAGAAAGAAAACTATTCCTACTCTGAGCAAGCAAGAGAAAGAGAACAAACACCCCAACAGGGTCTGATTCTGCAATCCACCCCAGCCTCTGCCAGCCGAGTTCTAGGCAAGCTTGTGGTAAGTGTAGTCAGGGAGCTCTCTGAACAGGAACTGGCAACCTTCCCACGCAGGACTGCCTAAAAGAGTGTTGTGTTGTAATACTGTGCTACTGTCCAGACCCACCAGAAACTTTCAAGTAAGATTTCTGAAAGGATTAATCCCTGAAAACGTGTCTGAACAGTCTTCAGTTCTAACTAAACTAGACTATCATTACGAAGACAACTTACAACCTGCTCATTAGAATATGTCTACCTCATAAATAGGACTGAAGATAACCTTTTACACAGAAGGGTGTAGAGATCACAAATCTACCTAGTATTAATGTTTATTCTGCCAGCACATACTGATATTAAAAGATAAACATAGTCCAGGTTATGAAAAGGTGACTAAGGGAAAAAAATTTGTTAAAAAGTGTGGAAGAAATTTTCAAGAAAAATGGGAACAGGTTAGGGAGATAAACGCATTTAAGAAATATTCTGTAATTCAGGCACGTGTTTGTGTCTGCCCAAGATCCAGAGAAGAAAATAGAGGAGAAGGGATTATGTCATGGCCGTCCCTCGGGGAGGAGTGATTTCTTGCTTTCTGTTTCTCTCTGTATCTCCAGCGAGCACATGTGCCCCATAGCAAAAATTTCTCTAAAATAATAATAATAATAATAAAAGCAAAAACAAAAACAAGAAAAAAAAAATTTTTTTAAGTTTTTGACACAGGGTGTATACACTTGCCAGAAGGAGAAAGAGACAGAGAGTGGGAAAGTGAGATACATCCCCCTGGGGGATGACCACGCTTCAATCCCTTCTCTGCCATTTTCCTCCTAGGATTTTGGGCAGGTATGTACACATTTCCAGCATGATTTTCAAGCTGCTAAGGACAGGACTTAAACCAAGGTGAGCCACGTGGCAGTCCAGTGCCTTAACCACCACACCACCTGCTGGCTCCCAAAGATGACCTTTTAACCTGTGGACAGAAATGTATTAAATGAGAATTACCTTTCACCAAAGAAGACAAATTGGCCATGCCATTCATACTCAATGGCCAGTGACATGCAGGTGTGAGAATGAGTTATTTGGTGACTGTGAACTCTGGCGTATCCCTTACACACATCCAAAACCTATCACAGTACTTTCTGTTACTGACAATTACGTTGAATAAATTAGGCCTATAAACTAGGCACAGGGGAAATTGCAAATAAATGATTTTATGTAAATTATGAACATAAAATTTATATACAGCATACTTACATACAGAGGGTCCACCTCCACTCTGAATCAAAAGAAATAAAAATTGTACTTTCTCAGACACACAGGGCTGAGCATAACTCACCCTTCCCAGTTCTTTATCTTCAAGAGCCAAGACCCCTGTGCTTTCTGTGAAGAGTTTTACTTTGACCACAGGCCGAGGATGGGTAGTGGTGAAATCTCCTTGAGTTCCCCATCTGCAAAGAAATAATGAAGATTTTCTTTAAAATGCAGCATTTCCCCCCAAATAGATGTGTCTCCACAGAAGGCACATTAGGCAACACAAAATCTTTTGTGGCTCAATGAGATTTTTATCTTTGCTTTTGTTTCTGACAGATGGCACAGTCAAGAAGGAAAATAACAATAAGCTTTACAGCTTGTAATAATTACTCAGCTGTTCAAAAATTCAGCATGTTGGACTACAAAATATACCATGTATAAAAATTTAGGTTAAGGTAGAGCATTATAAATATAGCTACTGAAGCTATTATTTCATTAATTCAAATGCAAGTCATGACACCATTTTTACATATGGCTGGAAAAAAAATTGCTAAGGGTTTATTTAAATGAGAGGTATTTTTTCAGAGAACTAGTTTTGCATGCTGAAAATTCTACCCCTTCTTTTTTTGGAAAGTCCTTCCTAAACACTGTCTGTCTTTATTTTTTAAAAAGTGGGAGTAATTAGCTCAGGTCTACTGCTTTACATGACTTTTTAAAGCTTCTGTCAAAAGGAAAGAAAGCTGCATCATAAAAATATGAGTATTTTGTACTTAATTTCCCAAAACATTCTCTCAGGAATGGAATAAGTCTGTCGACATCTGGGCTTTTCAAATCATCATAACAAAATAACATGCTTTCTTGGCTTATCTTTTAATTAATAACATCTTGTCTTTACCACACACCAATTCATTCTAGCTTACTTACAAAGTTAACTGGCACACACTTATATTAAAAAATCTTATCAATATTTCTCATAACTCTAAGAGATCATAGGCATTGAGATTCGGCAGAGCATGAAGAAAATTCCATTCAGCGAAATATCACAGATGAGGAAGAAAACAGGAGATCTAACAAATAAAGATTCATATTAAAATAAATCACTAAATAAAAAATATACCAATTTTCTTATGTTGTCTTAAAAAACAATTTACTATTTTTAAGAAGCTTTACTTTTTTATGAAAGAACTTCAAAAGTTTGTGGGAAAGTGTAGTTAAAGTACAAGTTTATTTTTTTAAGAAGCTTTACTTTTTTTATGAAAGAACTTCAAGTATCTGTGGGAAAGTGTAGTTAAAGTACAAGTTTATTCTGGTACAAAAAATGTTTGAAGTCCATGTGTAGTTTTTTTCATCATATACATTTCCCATGAAATTTTGGAAGACCTCTAATCCTTTATAAACTTTATTCAGAAAGCATACAAAATACAGAAAACTGAAGAAAATGAGCACAATAAAAATTGAACAAATAATCTTCATTATGTGTTCTTCTATCATAACATTAATAATATCAGAAACCTGTACAGTAAAGTGGAGGCTATATCAATGACTAAAGAAACAAACATCTCCATGGAGTGTATTCTTTAGAAACAAAAGTTAAATGCCAGAGGGAGGAGAGAGTCAATTAGAATGAAAGAGCAGCTTAATTTCTATTTTAGACTTCTAAAAAGAGGTTAGCAAGAAATATTTTGGCCACTTCATAGAATTAAGATGGTCTGAGATCAAGTAGAGGTAAAATAGGAAAAAAGAAAAAGAATTAGATTCAGAACCAAAAAAGAGGGGGAAAAAGTTCTCAACTTAGCGTGTAGATCTTAAGCCTTAAATATATATCATCAGACAATCTGGTTGACAACTATGAAATAGATTCCCATGACATACCTTCTCTAATTTGATATCATGTAGTTAAATTTGGAAGACTTAACCCTTGGAGACATTTTCTTATCATTGAAATCAATGGTTTCTGATAGTCATTTAAATGAAATCTAATAGTTTTCCACAGAATTCACTGATCTTTTAAACTAACTCGCTTCATAAAACTTTGTTAATGTATTCAACTGGTATTTTTTCTCTTCTAATTCAAAAATCTTTCAAATGTATTTATATTGCTTTCATTGTTCATTTGTAATTCTAATCCATTTTGTGATTCTCCAAAGAGAAAAATATTGACAGACCCCATGAAACATCACAGAGGGCCTTGTGAGTTTTGGTGTTTTACCTCATCCTCCTGCCATTTTACATGAAAGCAGAAGTGTTGCCAATTCCCCTTTGCTAGACAGAATAAGGCAAATGACAGTGCATATGCAAAAAGCTGTGCTCACTCACGTCCCCATGAACTTCTACTTTTACCTTTGATCCTTCATGGACAAGTATCCTCAAAAACTATTCTATGATTTTTATCACTAGTACAACTCTCATTGACTCATTAAATGAAATTTATTGTAGTATCATACACAGATTATCTATAAAGTGAAACAAGCATATATAATAATAATAAAATGAAAACCAACTTTCCCTCCATGCAGGCAAAGATGGAGAACAAATGAGTACAATGGATGAACCATTCTGTTTCTTGTCCTGGCCACATCCTCCTCTCCATTTTACCCTACCACTCTGAAGTAGCTAGGAACCTGAATTTTAATAGATAATTGCCTTGCATTGCTTCTTTCTTTTAAAGGTTTATTATTTGTTTCAAGACAGAGTGATGAGGCAGAGAGAAAGAGAGAGTGGTACATCCCCCAAGGGTCCTCATGCCATGATCTAACCCAGTTTCAGCCAGCCTGGATTACATGGTGCATGCCAACCTTGTATGCTCAGGAAGGTCCTGACACACACACCCTGGATCTTTTCCATGTGGGCCCAATTGCATTCCCACTGTGCCCCACTGAATTACTTCTTAAAGGAAGTATTTTCTAAATTTACTTAGAAATGTGATCATTACTCTATGCTCTTGGTGGATGGTCTTTAGTAGGTAAAAGAAATTACCTTGTTTATTAGACATGCACATACATATACAAATCAGGGTAAAATACGTGTATAAACACATAAATGATATAACAAACACATTAAATATATGCTATATAGAAGAGTCTGTGTGTGTGTGTTTATTTACATATCCACACATGGAATATATATACACACACACACACACACACACACACACACATGTGCATATGTATACTCATGAATATACACATACACACATCTCTGTACATTGTGTGTGTGTATATATATATACATATATACACATATAAGAGAATAAAAATGTGGATATATATATATATATATATATGTGTGTGTGTGTGTGTGTAAATGAATGCTCTATTTTATCAAATATTTTCTACGTCAATTGAGATAATAGTAGTAATTGTGGTAGATTATATTACTCTTCATTTTTGCTATCTAGAGATCAACTTAATTTTCTCTCTTTATTTAAAAAAGCTACCTAATACTAAATTTAGTATGCTAATATTTTATTTAGCTTTTTACATACACCTTCATTACTGATATTGGCCTTTAAATGTACTTTCTTCTATTTTCCTTGTAAGGTTTTGGTTATGTTAGCGTTATTGAATGAGTTTTAAAAATTATACATTTTCATTTCTAGGAAAGTTTGTAAAAAGTGGCAATTATTTGGATAGGAGCTGGACCCCCACATGGCTGACTATGGTTCACATTCTGTACCCAGTGACTTGAAAATCATATTGGGTGTGTGTGCATGCCTGACCAAGATCCTGAGAGAAGAACAGAAGAGAAGGGATTGTGGCCACCCTTCTGGAGGAAGGGGAGTAATTTCTCACTTTCCTTCTCTCTGTCTCTTTCTCTTTGGCATGTGCACATAACCTATGGCAGAAAACTTTTAAACAATGACAATTATTTGTTCTTAGAACTCATTAAACTATTTGGACCTGATGTTATTTTGTGGGAAGATACTTGCTACTAATTCTATTTCTTCATTGGTTATAGTTATAAACTACTCCCATCTTTTCTTCCTCCATGAGCCAGCTTTGGTTAAGTCTATTTTTCTAGAAATAGATTTCATTTGAGGTTTTTAAAAACATTTTCACAAAGTTGTCAATCCCTTTATCTACTGAATCTATAAGAGCATCTGTGGCTATGTCTCTCTCTTTTTTTTTTTTAAGGATTATTTATTCATTCATTTATTTTAATTTGACCAGAGACAGACAGACAGACACACACACACCACACACACACACATACACACACACACACACACACACACACACACAGAGTGAGAAAGCAAGCCACCAGGTCTGGGGCTCAAACCATAGTCGGCCATGTGAGAGTGTCCAGCACTTTAACCACCACACCACCAACTGGTTCCCTATGTCTCCTTTTTTTTTTTTTGTTTTTCACTACTAATATCCCGTTAAATCTTTTTTTTTTTTTTTTTGAGAGGTTTTTGCTATAGGGCGTGTGTGCTCACCAGACAGAGAGAGACAGAGACAGAAAGCAAGAAATCACCCCCCAGGGGGGATGGCCATGCCACAATCCCTTCTCCTCCATTCTCCTCTCAGGATCTTGGGCACACACGCATACACGCCCGGCATGAGTTTAAGCCACCGGGTCCAGGATGCAAACCATGGTCGACTACGTGGGAGTCCTGCGACATAGCCATTACGCTAACTGCTGGTCCCTCCACATTTGTGTCTCCAATTATTCTTTTCAAACTCCCATAGTGATGGTTAGTTTGGGGTGTTAATTTGACTGGATTCGAATTCCAAAAATGCATTACTCTGGATGTGTCTGTAGGGGTATTAATGTGCAATCGGGAAATACTTAGGTGGGAAGATCCACCCTCATGTGGGTAGGTACCATCAGTCAACAAAGGGCCTTGGAAGAACAAATACAGAACAGATGGGGTCTCTTCTATGAGAATGACAGACTTCTGTTGTCTTGGACATAAGAACTCAAGGCTCAGGGCTAGCAGGTGGCATGGTGGTTAAGTTGCTGGACTCCCACATGGCCAACCACAGTTTGAGTACAGATCTGCTGACTTGAAACTCACACCAGGCACATGTGTGTGCATGCCCAAAATCTTACAAGAATGGATGAGAGGGACTGTAGTCTCGGCCATTTTCCTAGGGTACAAGGGTGGGGTAGTGATTTCTCACTTTCCCTCTTACTATCTCTCTGGCAAGCACATACACCCTATGGTAAAAACTTTAAAAAAAGAACTCAAGGC